CCATTAACAGCAATTAACGAGCCTGTCACATTCACCCTTTGTTAACTTATTAACATGCTCATACTAATCGTGGCCCTTTGCTGATTTAAATTACAGATTAAATACGACTTATTTGCCAGCTTGCATTCAATTGTTTTAGGGTTTTTTCCCAATGATTATATTTCAGCTATTCAACGGAGTAAGCGATTGAAGGCATGCGGACAATCTTCGAACTTCAACTCTGAGCAGGAATTCCAAGCCCAGAGGCACAAAGGAAACCTGCAAACGAGCCCAGGCATTTGAACATTTGACCAGCCAGCCCCTTGCATGCTCACAGCTCAAAGGCGGCCAAGTGCCTGTGATTCTGGATCTGGATTGCAAACGGAAACCCAGAACTCAAAGCTCACTTCCAGGACGAAATCCAATTGACAGACAAACATGCAAGCTGGCCATCGATAAATGAAACCCACAAAAAACGCTTCGACTTGGGCCAAGACTCTGACTCTGCTCACTTTTCGATGCAGCACTTGAAGAAAATTGGGCAATTTTCATTTAAAATCATTTTTCAAAATCACAGGACCAAAATAAAAACAATGGGAATTTTTTTAGTTTTAAACCTAAATTAAAAATAATATTTTTATCTAATATTAACTGTTAGCTTGCATTTTTTCGCTGAGTGCTAGTGCACAAATGCAATGCGGTCGAAAGGTAATAAATGCAACCGGAATATGAAAATTCAAACCTCAAATCAAGGGTAAATTTCTCGCATCCCCTAATCCATTAAATTTCCTGATTTTGAACAAAAATTTATTGCTTTCCGCAAGGCGATTTACCGAAATTAGTCAAAGTAACTGAGAGGCAATCAGCAGGGCTCCCAATAGTTTTTCCCATTTTGCCGGGCAGGGAATTTTCAAATGAAAATCAAGCTCGGCTAGATGGCTTTGACCTAACCTCACATTCAAGTAATTGACATTCTGTTGCGCTATTCGAACCCAGGACGACCAGTAGATGGTAGTAGTGGATGGAGGACGAAGGACCAAGGAGCAGGCGGTTCAATTGCAGCTCCTTTTGCTTGTCTTGCCGGGGATTTATTGCAACCTCAGTTGTTTGCCATCTCGGTGCCTGGCCCCACCAGCTCTTTCTCAACTTTCAGGTTCTATCGTCTATATTTTTTTTATGGGCGTACATCTAAGCCGTCATTTTGGAAAACGACGCCCATTGCAATAGCGCCGAGATTTGATCAGTTGTTTGCTTTCGCTTTATATATCTTTCACTGTTTTAAAATTGCACTCATGTGACTTTGGCTCCGTCACTCGACGCTCGTCTCCACTCGCCCAATACAATGGGCACACAACGAGCTGGAAACTGTCAAAACGAAGGTCTTTTTCATATCATTTAATAGGTTTTCAAAGGGGCAAGCCCAATTTATTGGGCTCATTGAATGAGCTAAGTTGTGGGAATATTTTTATATTTTCCACTAATTTTCTAACGAATTATATCTAATAATTTTATTTTATACAACGAAAATCAAAAAAGATCAGATTGATTTGTGCAGGCTAATTTAAAATTTTTTAAAGGACAAGTTATTCATATCATTTTGATATGAATAAAGATTATGTTTATCTTATTTTTAAATTTTTGTTCAAAAAAATGCTGAATTATGTATTTTAAAACAGTATTTTTATAACTTTTATTAAATGATAAAATATCAAGTTGATATGTTTGAATTATAAATATGACATTGATCGGCTACGGTAGAAATTACTCTAATTCATATAAAAAATTTTTTTTCAGTACTATTTATATCTTGTATTGCCTATACCATTTAATATATCACCATTTTAAGGACCATTTCTAGCACTCTGCCCACAGTGACTGCAGTTCTTGAACAAACATTTTTTACTGGCAAATTGTATCTGTACTTTTATGTGTTTTATTCTCAGTTTTTTTATTCGGCTGGTCCTTGGTGGCTGCTCTATTCTAAAGCGACAACAGAATAAATTTTGGTTGGACAATTTTGTTTCATTTTTTTGTAGGTCTGGTAAATCCCCAATGCAGGCGACTCAAGCTACCGAAACATACGATGCACATTCATATTCATTCTGGTTCTTAGGGTGGAAACAGATCCTTTGGGCATTAGACGAGAATAAAGTCGTCTAACACATGAAAGTGAGTTTATCCTTTAATTTAAAATTTCACACATTTCTGCAGCTTTTCTTTCGATTTAGTTGTTTTTATGCTGGCCATTAATTATGGATTTTATTTTTCGAAAACTTTTAAAATGCTTAGGCCTTTATTTGCTCAACTCGAGTTGCACACAGAATAGTTTTTAATTTATTTAAAAGATTTTCAGTTATGTGTTTGGGTGTGTGTGTGACTAAGTCCTGGCCTGGAAATCCTGCTCTAATTGGCAGACTTCCGGCAGCCTGTCAAACATCCTTGCAGATAAAACCAAAGTACAACAAAAAAAATGTAGGATTCCAAGAGAGAGAGTTGAGTTTTTCATTTCAAATGGTTTTTCCTTGGTGCTTTATGCAAATGATGTTGGATTACGCAAATATTTACATTATTTTCCTCGCCATAGGTTAGTTTCCGCTGCGGACAAATATTTATTTATTCAACGCGATTGTTGCCTTTCGTTGGAATTGAATTGAATGCTTCTCATTCGATTTAAGCATAATTCAATTATTTCCGTTTAATTTTCAACAAATACTTGAACGCATTCCATTTGCATATTTGACTGGGTAAAGTGAGCGGGGGGGGGCATTAAAAGAAAAGTTGAAAATCAGCCAAATCAAAAAGCCAGAAAGTTCCTTGGCATTTGTTTTAATCTTTTCGAGTCTGTGAACTTTGAGAAGAAAGTGGCTCTGGAGTGGGGTTTTTGGTTGAACTTAAACGGAATATATGATTTGCCTTTATTTTAAAATTCTTATTATCGATCAAGTCAAAGTATGTTTTAAGCTCCTTAAAATATTTCTCTCTCCTAGATGCTTCTTAAAAATTCCATTAAATTTGAATTTAGAGAGATTCACAAAATGCACTCCACTATATCGCAGCCAAACTCTTTTTCCAAATATTCACGTTCTATTTACGTTTTCAGCCAGAGCAAACAACATTTGATTTTCATTTTTTAACTTTTTATACCCGTTACTCGTAGAGTAAAAGGGTATATTGTATTCGTGCAAAAGTATGTAACAGATAGAAGGAAGCGTTTCCGACCCCATAAAGTATATATATTATTGATCAGGGTCACTAGCCGAGTCGATCTAGCCATGTCCGTCTGTCCGTCTGTCTGTCCGTCTGTCTGTCTGTCTGTCTGTCTGTCCGTATGAACGCTGAGATCTCGGAAACTATAAAAGCTAGAAGACTGACATTTTGCATGTAGATTCTAGGAGTTTCTACGCAGCGCAAGTTTGTTTCAAAAGGGTGCCACGGCCCCTCTAACGCCCACAATCGCATATATACGATATTGAAAATTTCAATATTTTGGAAAAGTAAAAATGCAGTTTTATTGTGTTTATCAATACCTATCGAAATGTAGAAGAAATTTTTTAAATCGGACCATTCGTTAAAAAGTTACGGTGGATCAAAGTTTTTATCTCCATGTATAATCCTTCGCACTCCCTTTAGCTGAGTAACGGGTATCTGATAGTCGGGGCACCCGACTATAGCGTTCTCTCTTGTTCTATTTAAATTATCGCAAAAATGTGGGCACGCTATAGAGAATGAATGGGGAAATGGGGGAAACCGAATTTGACGTAGAAAAAATTCCTTTGACTTGTTACATTTTTCAACAATTTGCCTCGTACTTTCCCGTGCTCTTTTATTGCTTTCGGTTTGTTTTGGTCTATTTTCAAATCTGTTTGCCAAAGCGAATTTTTTGTTTGCACATTTCCAAATTTGCTTTTATGCCTTTGTACTTTTTTTTGATAGAATGAGGGTGCTTAATACATATATATTTTAAATGGGGTTCATAAGCTCTAGGCTTTATAATAAATTTGTACCCAGATTTTATTTGTTTTAGATGAAAGATCAAGGTTCCATTTTTTCCTGTGTTTCAGCAAATAAAATTATTAAAAATGTTCCTATATTTACCTAGTTAACTGTTTTCAATTATGATCATTCCTAACGCAAAGATTTAAATAAAGCTTTTCAATATGTTTTTTCGTTCTAGGATTCTGCTCTTATTTATTTGAATATTTTATTTTGCTCAAATAAATTTTTGAATTTTTTTTAATAGTTTTTCCTGTGTGTTTATACACTTTAATCCTTTGTTATTTTGCCAACTTTGCATGACCAAATGTTTTCCCATTTGAATTTATTTTTTGAGCGACACGCTTTAGCCCCAATATATTAAGAAGACTTTTAAATATTTAATTTCATTCTAGGTTTTTCTGTCATTATTTCTTTTTTAAATATTTATTATGCCACTTGTTCTAGGTGGCAGCTGTACGTTGTCCATTGTGTATCGTTTGAGCGGCAAAAGAGCAACAACAATCCACTTTTCTGCGCTGCCTACGATTGTTTGGCTTTCTTTTTGTTGTTCAATTAAATATATTCCAGTGCATCCCCAAACCCCCTAGCCCCTCTCTCTCCGTTTGTTGTTATTAAAAAAGTTTTTTGAGTTTTTATTTGAATTTCCATGAGAGGAGCACCGGGTAAAAGTGAAAAATAAAATAAAACAGATGAAAATTGTATTCATACTCCTAGCGAAAACTAGTGCAGCGAAAAAACAAGCACAACCCGACAAAGCGATAATAACTGACCGATTGGGTAAATTTTGTAATTATTGCCAATACCCAGAAAAGCAAGAAAAAAAGATTAATAACGAAACTTTTGCAATCACCTAGGGAGCTCTTATATGAGGTAATCCAATCGCCAAAACAAAACAAAAAATCTAAAGAACTGAGCTTGGCAAATACAATTTTTGTGTGTTTCGTTTAATTGCTTAATTTAATTTGCATGAAATCCACAGCAAGGCAAACAAAGGCAAAGCTCCAGTGGAAAACCGAAAAACCTACCAAAGTTCTTTTGTTGAGGCGGCTTCGTCGTCGTCGGCGGCAAACAAACAGAAAAACACTCGAAAAAATACGTTTCGCAAGTTGTCGTTTTTAGTTGTAGTTGTTGTAGTGACTTTTTTTTCGTACTTTTTGTTTTATTTAACACTCCACTGGCTACTTTTGCATGTCTCAAGAACACTGCCCAAGTGGTTAAACAATCGATGGGTGTATTTATTCGGCTCACCCCAATTGATTGCGATATATTCTGTTGGCTATTTTATGCACTTGCATACAATTATGCGCTCACAGCACGGCACTCGTAAATTATCTCTTTTTTTTATTCGAACGCACAAACAATATGACTTGGGATTTTTCCTTTTTTTTCTAAATTTTTACGACAGACTCTTCGATGGATTTTCCACGATCTTAGCACCAGAACCTTTCCAGCTCAGCTTGGTTTGAACTCCGTTAGACGACTGAATCTCTTGCTGGCCAGGCATCGCAATTTTATACGTCTGTTCTCGAGTCGTAAAAAGCTCGGCTTTCCGCTTCGGCTTTTCGGTCGACTTAATTGGGGACCAGGGGGGCCAAGTAGCTTGTGCGCAGGCGCTACGCAGCTCTTGGAAAAAATATAAACACAAAGCAGCTGGTCTGAGCTCAGCTGTTTTTTGGCCAAAAGCCGGCAACAACAAGCCCCACATGTGGCCGAGCTAAAGGGGGGCATTTCATCCGGAGAGAGGGAGGGTTAAAGCTTCGGCAATGCCGACTGCGCAAAGACAACAATTCCATGTTGTTCTTGCCCACGAAAAACCAAATAAAGCAAGGTAAGCGCTCGAAACACAAACAGCAGCAACATCAATAATACCTATGGGGCTTTAACAGGTGGCAATGTCATGATTTTGCAGCAGGCAAAACAATTTTCAATTTTTCTAAATTTTAGTATAAAATATTGCATCGGATAACTTAAACCTTTTTTTGATTTTCTCGGTTGATATTTAATTTTTGTCCCGTTGAAAAAAATGTTTATCTACAAATATTAAATATAAATATAAATATTTTAATCTAATAAGGAGGCATTGGATTTCAAAATTTCAAAAATTGGAAATAGTAAGAATATTATTTACCTAACTTAAAACTGTGGTAAATTTTAATGATATTGAAAATATTACAAAATTTGGGCATATAAAGTAATGGGTAAACAGCAGTTCTATAGTTTAATAACATAAGTTTAAAATAATTTCCTTTTGTTATTCTTTTTTGTGTCGCTAACATTTTTGCACACATATTTCATCTAAAGTAACAATTTTTTTCTCCATGTGTTTTATCCAGCTTTATGAATATTACCCATTATTGCACACAAAAATTGTGAATTTTCTGGCGTCATTAAATTAATTTAATTGATTATTTTGATTCGCTTTACTTGCACGCTGTGTGTCGTTTTGTGCAACAATTGTTTACCTTTTATCGGTTCATCTGTTGATTGCTAATTCCCAAAAAAGTTCGTCGCAAAAACTTCGTCGCAAAAATCGAATCAATTCAAATTGAATCGCATCCCAAAAGTAACGACAACAAAAACTGGCCAAACTCGATTTAATTAGAAGCAAAATAATATTATGTAGACGGTATAAAAACGAAATTTGGTACTTAGACATGTCAGATGGTAAATATTAATGCGTAGCAAGTTCTTTGAACTTTCGTTCTAATTTATTTATTTCAACCAAATCACGTGGATAACATCAGAGATTCAATAATAGATTAGGTTTTGCTTATGAATATTCTAATGTGTCAGTTAAAAAGAAATTAATTAATTAAAAATGAAAGGTTGTTGATGTTTATTTTTATTTATATTTATTTTTTTGTAAAAAGAGTGAATCATATTTGGTTGAGTATGAAACTATAGTAACATATTTATTAAAATAAAATAAATATTTTAAATCACTTCTTATCTATCCGATATATTTTTTCTAGCTATTAATTAGGAATTGCCTGATCGTCACATATTTGGTAATTCTTGGCGCTCTTCATGCGGTCGCATTATCAAAGCTGTAACTTACAGTTACTTGTTTTTCGCCATACTTTCTGCACGTTCTTTGTCGTCTCTTTGTGCTCGTGAAAAATTGTTTTTTAAATAACATAATGGAACGCTACAATCGCGTCTATAGAGGTAATGACCCAAACTTATTAAAAACAAGAAAGACCTATAAAATCATCGTAATTTTTAAACAGATCCCGCATCCCCACTGGCGCCTTTAACTCCCCTTACCACCGAAGCTTTTACATTTGACCACGTCACGCCCACCAACTGCGGCGGCGGTAGGAAGGGTCAGGCCAAATGTGGACTGTTCGGGATCCCGAAGGCCAATAATCTTACGGTCCCATCATGTCGACCATCCTCAGCCTCGCAACGCTCATCAGAGGCTAGTTTGCCGCCTCGGCGTTATTCCCAAAAATTCATGCGCACACGATCTGTGTTTTCGCCAACTAGTCAAAGTACCCTGCTAAATGGAGGAACCACTCTATCGAGCGCGACTAGGCCGAAACCGGATATCCGACTGCAGCAGGAAACGCGGCTGAAGCTGGAGGCATCCAAGTTGAAAAGGGAGAGCTCCAAGATTAAAATGGAAGACTCCAGGAGTCCCACACCGAGTATCATTCACCCACGCTATAGACCCAGCTCCCCGGTGGAGCACCCCACATTGAGTCCCCGTGTTAAGTCCCTACTCAATGGCACTGGGAATGATCATCTTACTGAGCTTTTCACCCGCCAGGAGATTGACATCGAGGTGCTGATCCAAATGACCCTGGAGGATTTGGTGGCGCTGGGCGTCCGTGGCGCTCGGGAGATAAGATTGGCCATGAACATCATCCAAATGGCCAAGCAATTATTTTGATTTGTGTATCTCCCCTGAAGTTACTATAATTTTTTAATGTTTGATGTCATGTGAAATTTTTTAATATGTATGTGAGATTTTAATAAATGTTTAATGTGGTCTTAGGAAAAGGAATTTAAATGGAGAGTGAGAAATATATTTAAGAAATCTCTGAAAAATTAAGAAAAAAATATCTTAAATATAATAACTTCTAACTTAAATTTAGAGAAAAAATAAACCAAATGATTTCTGTACAAAATTTATTATGTTTATTAAAATTTTTAACCCAAAATTTTGTTCAGTGTATAGATTCTAATAAGAGCAATATTATAGTCACCAACCATGGTGAATAACTTTACTAATTAGCAAAGGCTTGTCTCTATACGGTATTTAGTTTAGTATATTTTTTAGAGCCACCTGGTATATTTCAAAATCCCAGCCGCAGTCACACTGAACACGTGTTTGAAACAGAAGAACCGCAGTTTATACCGAAAATATCCACGTTTTTAAGAGAAAAACAATGGTTAAAGTGAAAGTAGAACGCTCCGAGGATGCCGATGCCTCCGTGGTGGCCAGCGGCGATGTTACCATCAAGGAGGAGGAGTCCTACGACGACAAGATGATCTTCGTGAACGCCATTGCCAAGCCGATGGCAGGTAAAAAACTGGCCAAAAAGTGCTACAAACTGGTGAAGAAGGCAATGAAGCACAAGACCTTCCTGCGAAATGGATTAAAGGATGTGCAGACTCGACTGCGTAAAGGAGAAACTGGGTGAGTAATGGTTAGTTCACCCCCCACGAAACCGGAAACTAATACAACATATCCCCCAGAATTTGCATCTTTGCTGGCGATGTGACTCCTGTGGACATCATGTGCCACTTGCCCGCCGTTTGCGAGGAGAAGGGCATCCCGTACACCTACACCCCGAGTCGGGCGGATCTGGGAGCTGCCATGGGCGTGAAGCGCGGTACAGTCGCCCTCTTGATCCGCCAGAACGAGGAGTACAAGGATCTGTACGATGAGGTCAAGGAGGAGCTCTCCGGACTGAATATTCCTGTCTAGGATTGAATTACCTGTAGGATTAGTTTCGCCTGCTAATTAAGTACCTAGTTAAGTTAAAAAAAATCCTAATAAACGCCAGGAAATGCCGATTTTTTGGCACCAAGAATGTATTGGATTTACTATTTTTTATGATGGTACTGTGTAGAAGTCCGGAAAGATCTAGTTTAAAAAGTACTAAATTCCTAAATTCATTTTTGAAGTTTCATTTCAAGGAAATGTAGCTTAAGGTAAGTTACATATACTGGCAATAAGGTTCAACAAAAGAAATTTAATACAGAAACTCTTACCGAAAAATGTTTCTTAACTCATAATAATTATAACCTACTTCTTAAATTGTATATTCATTCCAAAATATTCTACTGGAAGAAAGGCTCGCAAAAATTGTTTTCAATTTCAATGCATTTAATTCAAAAAAAACTGTAAGGTCTGGAGAAGCAAAGTTTAAAAACTTAATTATATAAATTAAACCCTTTTTTTCGCGCTATGACCAGCTATAAAAATATATTTTCAAAATAAGTTTCTCTAATTATTTTGAATTGAAAAAAATAATTTTCTAGCAATTCTATTTAGCAAGCTAAAAAATGTTAATAAGGTTATTGAAAACATACTTTAAACTGAAAAATTAGCTTTGTTAATACGAAAATTAATAATTTAGATTTTCATTAATTTCGAACCCAGTTAAGATGAAAAAACTCAGTTTGCTGCCGGTAAAGGAAACCAAAATTGCAAGTTTTTTTTGCCGTCCCTTGGGGATCTTTTTTGTTTTCTCTTTTTTTTTTGTAATTTTTTTTATAAGTATTTTCAGCATAGCTGGTTTCATATAAATTGTTTTACATATACAATACAGTTGAAATGGAGGAATTTCGTTAGGCTTCTGGTTTCTGTTCTTCTGGTGCTCGATGTGTGGTGTCTGCTATTATTGTTGTTAGTTAGTTGCTGTATGTGTGGTGTCTAAATTTACATATAATTTAACACTAAATGTGTTCGTGTAGGTATGCAATGTATTTCCTAGAAGATCGTTTAACAAATGACATGAGTGGAGGGGGGTTATTAAAAGTACAATTTCTTGTTTATTAAATGTAATTTTCGTTCTTTTTTCTTTCCGCTTTTTAGTTTGTTACGCGATACATTGGTTAAATAATTACAGTTATATAAAGTTAATATGTTTATGCTATCCAAGTCGCTAGCCAAAATACTACGATAAAACTCAAAGATCGGTTAAATACTCTTATCGAAAAATTCTTATATTTTTTGTTTGCATTTCTCTTTTGTATGTTTTACATTTACCAGTCGTCAGAACGGACTAAACGATGAGTGGGGGGTGGGGATTTTTTGGGGATTCGGGGATTTCGGGGCGATTGCTGCAAATTCGGGGGCGGCCAACAATAGTAATATAATTTACACACGCATCGACAATTTTTGATGGGCAAAGGAACAAATAACTCGTGCACAAATTTAAATATTTATATGCATATTATATATATGTTCGTATGTAGGTAAGTATGTTTAATTCGCACACAAAAATGTTCATATCCCTTATAGCCATTAAATATATATAATAGGTATATAATCTGAAGTTACAGTTAATAAGGATAATAATTTATGTATTTGAGTGCGTGACAAATTTTCAGTTTTAATGGGTTTTGTTAATATTTGTTGTTTTTTTTTTGTTTTGTTTTAAATAGTCAACTCCTGTACAAAATCGAAATTTATAACTGAGAAATTAAAGGTAGAAACGAACCGAGGGTTTACGTAGCATATAGGCTACGCACTAAAAATAGAAAAAATGTACAATACAATTTTTTTTTTTTTTTTTTGAATAATCTTACATCTAAAGCTAACTATGCATTTTGCAGTTTATAGTTATTACATAATAATTTCATTTTTTTGTGGGTTTTAAATGTGTTTGTTTGTTTTTTTTTTAACTTTTTTCTTACTTTTTTTTTTTGTATGTTTCAAGAGTCTATCGATAAGGTTTTCTTGTGTAGGCGTTTATATTTATTTTTTCGGGGCTGCTCAGAGCAACCCGTTGGATGCTGCGAACCGATGGAGGCGCCTGAGACGTCCTTGGGCTTTTGAGGGGCGTAACAAAGGGGCGGGGCGGGAGGTCAGGGGGGTGAACTTCAACCAGTTCCTGCTGCGGCATTTGGGCGAGCTTTAGTAACCACTAAACATTAACTAAATAGGTATGTATGTATATTATTAATTAATTATAATAATTCACACGTTCAACTTAAGGCTACCGTAATTAAATAATTTGCAATTTAAATGAAAGCAAAAATAAGGATAGGGGCAACTATAATTAAGAAGCAGTTCTTTTTCGTTTTTCTCTTCCGTTTTTCCCATTGTCTGGGGCATTTTTTACGTTTTTTTTTGTTCAGCTAAGAATTTTGCAATTTTTTTTTTGTTGTTAATTTTCTGTTTTTTTTTTTGTTTGTTGTTTTTTTTGTTTTTTTGCTTTTCGTTTTTAGATTAAGACCCTTTGATGCCACAGCAGGAGATGTGCATCTCACTGAAAGTAGTTGTAGAATCCGGTCGTGGCCTGTCCCAATTCCCGGATGGCCGCAAACGGATCCTTCTCGAGGAGATCGCTTCCGGCTTGCGCGCCTTTTCCTCCTCCGCCCGCCCCCGCTCCTGCCACGCCCACCTGCGCCTGCGACTGTCCCGAGGGAGGTCCGCCTCCTCCGCCAACCACCGCCTGGGGTCCCTGGCTCAGCACAGCCGCATATGTGGTTGCCGCCGACGAGCCGGAGGACTGCTGGTGATGATTGGCCGCCTCCGAGTGCGGCACACTGGGCGCCATGGCCTGAAACAGATCCACGTCGTGGCCGCCGCCCTTCAGCGTATTAAAATTGTTGTACAGCAGGCCGTGCATGTGATCCGATGACTTGACCGAGTGATCCACCACCGAGTTGTTGGCCTGAAAGAGTGCCTCTATCAAATTGGCCCCAGCGTCCATTCCATGCATGTTGTTGTAGCCGCCGTTTCCGCCTCCAATTCCATTCCCTGCGAGCGCTTGTCTTCTATACAGCGGCACCGAGTTGTTGCCATTGCTCAGCATTCCATTGTTGTTGTTGTTATTGTTGTTGTGACCGCCGATGCCTGCGTTGTTCACGCCCACGTTGTTGTGCATGTTCAGGTTGTTGTAGGGCTTGTCATTCAGCAGAGCATTGCCAGCTGTATGAAAATAATTTAATTAGAATAGGAAACAAGAGAAAACGCTATAGTCGGGTTGGTGTCCCGACTATCTAATACCCGTCACTCGGGTAAAGGGAGTGCGAGGGAGATGGATATATAACATTTTTTTATTGCGCATAACTTTTTAATGAATGGTCCGATTTGAAAAATGTTTTCTACATTTCGATATGTATAAATATACACAACAAAATTGCATTTATACTTTTCGAAAATCTTTAAAGATGTGGGCGCCAGACACATTTTAAAATCGTGAGTGGGCGCTCGGGCGCTCGGCTGAAATAAACTTGCACTGCGTATGAAGCCCAAGAATATGTGTAGAAAATCTCAACCTTCTAGCTTTTGTAGTTTTCGATATCTCAGCGTTCATACGGACGGACGGACGGACGGACAGACAGACAGACGGACACGAATACAATATACCCTTTTACTTTGCGAGTAACGGGTATAATAAATAAAATGTTGGTTGAAGGAATCTTATCATTAAATTCTCTCAAAAGGTATTGCAAATCTCCTCTTACCATTTCCCATAAAGTTGGTGTTTCCAATGCCGCCTAGGTTATTCCCACCGCCATTGGGCGGCGCCTGATGCAGACCAGGTCCCAAATGATTGGGATACAGTGGCCCGGGACCTGGAGGAGGCTTCGCCTGCTGTTGTTGCTGCTGTTGTTGCTGCTGCTGCTGTTGCTGCTGCTGCATCATGGCAAACAGACGGCTCTGCTGTTGCTGTTGCTGCTGTAGATCCGCTCCGTTCAAACCATTGCTAAGTGGTGGACCAGCAGGATTTCCCGTGCCAGCCACCATTCCCAGAACATCTCGCAGTATGGGCTGTGCTATGTCATTGGCTCCGTTCATAATCGAGTTGAAGACCAAGTCGATCTGCTGATTGAAGTTTTCTAGCGGCGGTGAGGCGTCCACTGATTGCTGCGGCGGCTGCTGCTGCTGCTGCTGTTGATTCTGTGGATACATCATGGGATACTGCGGTCGTTGCACATGCGGATTGTTGAGCATCGGATTGTTGACCATCTGCTGCTGCGGCGGCTTGTGCTGCTGCTGTTGCTGCAGCGTGGCCATCACCTGGCGCAGCATGTCCGCAAACTTGTTGGCTCCCTCCTGACCCACAGTTTCGAGTAGCTTAAGGTACCACTTGTACTGCTCTTCCTTGGGATTGAAAGCCATTTCATAGATGCTCACATTGGGCGGCAGCAGCTCGTGGGTCAGTGGACCAAAACGCATGGAACTCGGCGAGGGTTGCTTGCCGGCATACATAAAAGGATTGGGTGGCGGTGGCTGCTGCTGTTGCTGCTGCTGCTGCGGCGGCGGTGGCGGTGCTCCAGGATTGTAGCCACTTCCATTGTGCCGCAGATAAGGAGGCGGCGGTGGTCCGTTCTCCATGGGCGACATGGGTCCATTCGGCACACTGCTGCCCCGCTGCATTCCCATCGGTGGTTGTGGTTGCTGCTGCTGCTGCTGCGATGGCGGCGGCGGTGGTCCTGGCCCATAGAGCTGATGATGCGGCGGCGCCTGGCCATGGTTGTACAAAGTCTTCTTGGCCAGATAGCCCAGTTCGCTGGGATTCCTCAGTAGCTGCGCGGCGGCTCCACCGTTTGGCGGCGGTGGCGGCACACTGCCACCTCTCAGGGGCAGCGAAGGATTGGCATTGAGTGGCGGCGGTGGCAAGGGACCTGGTCCGCGTCCAGGTGCACTCACCGGCGGCGGCTGCGGCGGCTGTGGCTGCTTGCTGGGCGGCAGCACACTCCAGGGATTCGTTTGCGGCGGCGGGCCCCACAGACTGGCATTCGGATTCTGTTGCTGCTGTTGATTTTGTCCCTGCTGCGGCGGCCGCCAGTGCTGCATGGCTGGATATTGTCCATAGGGTGGTGGTGGACCACCTCCTCCTCCTCCTCCTCCGCCTGGCGGCTGTGCGGGTGGCGGCGGTCCACCGGGTGGCATTCCCCGCAAATGCGGCGCCGGTGGTCCTCGCATTCCCATGTGTCCATTACCGCCGCCGCCTCCAAAGTGTGGAGGTGGTCCTGGCCCAGGACCGGGTCCTCCTCCTCCTCCACTTCCTGGTCCAGGACCATTTCCAGACTTGCCACCCACGGCTGCTGCAGCGGCCATCATCGCCGCCCATTGGGTGGAGTACATGTTGATGGAGCTATTGATGATCTGCTGATTGGCCATGGCGGCGGCCATTTGATTCATCTGGTGGGCAGTGGCCGCCGCCGGTCCGGGACCCAGCATCCCAGCTGCAGTGGCGAAATGGGGAGGAGGACCAGGTGGCCCATGACCACCATGGCCACCATGCTGTGGTCCATTTAGATACAAAGCAGCCTGCTCCCGCAGATACGCCTCCGGTTGCAGGGAACGTGGCACAAATTCCGGCGCCAGGGGATTCAGCACATAGCCACGCTTCAGCTCCACGCCATCCAATTGCGAGCGCAGATTGGACCAGGTCAGGCCAAACAGAGACTTGTGCTCGTCGCAGATCTCGATGAAGCGCTCCCACACCTTTCGGCAGCGGCCAATGGAGCACAGGGCCACGGGATCACCCACCACAGCGACCAGCGATTGAGCTCTCGTAATTGCAGTGTTGAGGAGCTTCGAGTTGCTCAGGAACCCATAGTCCGTATCGGCATCGCCAATGCTGGCCGAGGAGGCTGCTCCCGGCGCGCTTCCTTGGGGCATGCAGGTGCGCCTAGTTCGCACCGTCGAAAGGAACACCGCTCGAAACTGTTTGCCCTGCACATTGAGCACTCGCTCCACCGATATTCCGCCCATGCGGCGTTTCCTCAGCTCCGAACGTATGCGAAACACCTGATCCGCGTAGGGAGTCATTATCCCGATGCTCGTATCGTTCAGTTTACCCCAGGCACTTGGCCAGCGCTTCCGCAGCTCGGAAACCCTTTCCACCACCTCGTAAACCTCGGCATTATTGTAAAAAGCAGTTGAGTTTTTATCCTGAACATCCTCTCCTCGCGTGGTAAAGAAGGTCAGAGGATAAAACCGCTCGTGCCTTGGTTGTTTCCCAGAAGCCACCAGCTTTTGTTCGTAGAAAAGCTCCGAGGTGAAACGGATGATGGCCTCGTGTGCTCGATAATTCTCGCACAGCAGAATCTTGCAGGGAAAGTTGGAGGGATAGTGATCGTACAGCCGTTCCAGAAGCGAAATATGCAGCTTGCGTTCCTTGGCAAAGGCGGAGAAGAGCTCCGGACTCATCTGCATGTGATCTCCGGCCAAAACGATCCTTGTAGAATCATTTGCCAGCGCGAGCGGCATAATGGCCTCGCATTCCATGGCCTGAGCCGCCTCGTCCAGGAAGATGTGGGTAAATAAACCCTTGGGCAGGCCCAAAGTGGCCAATTCCATGCTGATGCTCAGGGTAACGACGACTATTCTATGCCGCATGATGTCCTCCACCGTGGGCCGCTTGAAGTTGCCCACGCCATCGGTGATGCAGTACTTTTGCACCACACTATTCACGGTGGCCGACCACCTTTTGTGGTAGTAAACACGCAGCGGTGTGGCCTCCTCCAGGCCCTCCTCGATCCACGGATGCAGGTACTCCTTGATGTACAGATCGGCGGCCGAATTCGAGTGCGTGCAGATCAGGATCTTGGCCTCCGGTTGCGCCAACAGTTGCTTGATGGCCTGCGCCAGTGTGTAGGTCTTTCCCGTGCCAAAGGGTCCAATCAGCAGAATGGGCGGCAACTTAATGCTTAGCGCCGTGGTGATGGCATTCACCGCCTCCCTTTGCTTGGCATTCAACTTGGGCTCACAGGCATCGGCCCACTGCTTCTTGGGTGTCCAGGGAATACTCGGTTCCAGTTCGGTGGCCGGAAAGATGAGCCGGAAATCGGTGATCTTATCCACTGCATTGTGCCACTCGCAGTAGGGCATTCGATTCAGCTGGAATTGTATATCCACCTCCAGTTCGGTGTCCGCCTGCAGAGCCATTGCCTCCACGCATTTCGCTGATAGCTTCAAGTAAATCACATTTTTGCCCTTGTCCTCGATCAGCGCCTCGTAAACGGCGCGATTCGATGGATCCGCTTTGGCATCCGGTTCCTCTGGCTTCGAGATATACACACTGCTGCAGTTGGAGAGTATCAAACGTCCTGGGGATGTGTCCTCCGAGATATCCTTGCCCAAACGCATTAGAGCAAACAGTTCACCGGCCAGGGAATATTTCGCCGTACTGGTGGCCATTCCCGCTGGGGTGAGAATATAATTCGATGCCACTGTGAGCCGAGTTCTCACATTATACCTGGCTATCTGCTCGTAGCGGGCAATCTCCTCCACGGACAGCAGCTCATGGATGCGCGATCGGTAGTTGTTCTGCGTCAGCCGCTTCTCCACAATCGTCGACTGGGTCAGCGTAAAGGTGGCCGCCCTGGGGCATGGATACCTCTCCAGCAGCTCCCGCTCGTGCTCCAGATCGCTGAGATACGCCTCCGTCTTCAGATGGGTGCCTATTGTGGTTTCAAAACGTGTCAGCTGCGTATTGGCCACATCCCATCGGGTGGCAGAACTGTTGATTATGTCCCTTTTGATCTCCTCGATCTTCTCCGCATCGTTCACGGGCAACACATCTACGCAGAGATGCCGCACGAGCAAAGGTTCCTGGCCCACATCGAAGCAGATGGCTTGGCGAAAGGTTCCATAGATTTCGGTGTGAAACTCTACTGTGATTTCGTGGTTCCAGGTGGCCGCTTCCTCGCCGGTGCTCTCCGTTTGAGCTGCTACCCACTCCTGATCCGATTTGAGCTCCATCCCGGACTCCGTTGGCTTGCACATCTTTATAGACTTGAGTGCAAAGTGATTGCGATGGGCATCCTGAAGAAGGGCCACTGCTTTCAAGGGCCTTTTCGTCTCCAGCTGAAAGAGCCACTCCCGCTTGGAGGTCTTCGAGGCGATGCTGGTGACCAACTGCTGCTCGCAACGCGCCTCCATCTCCGGCACCCGTTCGCACATGATTCGCTCGGGTGCCGTGGCCTGGATCCATCGCTCCAGCACTTGCTCCGTGTACGACTTGCCGTAGAGCTCCTTCTCGCAGGCCTTCTGCATCCGCATCCGCCGGTACTCGAAGCGCTCCTTCCACTCGTTCAGCTCATCCTGGCCATGGGCCTCCACGCACTGGGCGCCGTAGTGGCAGGTGTGCGCCTCGCTGAACGTCTCGCACAGGGAGTAGGTGTCCAGCGTGTAGCCCCTGGGCGGCGGACGCCACTTCCAGTCGCGGCCTAAACGGAAAGTAAAAACATTATTTATCTCGAATGACTGGAAGTTCATGTTTTTGAGTGCTTTTTGAAAAGTCTATCGTGTGGAATCATTTTATTTATGTTGTTAAGAAAGCTATTTTTCATTTGTTATTTACTCTTTATAATTAATCTCCTGATGATGACAAATATATTACATATTTTCTAACAGAAAGAACAATTTATAATGTTGAATACAATAATGATTATATTCCAATACGTTTACAATTAAAAGTGCACTTTATATGAAGATTTGTGCAAGATTGGCCTATAAACATGACTTCAATCTGTTCAAAAAATTTCATAAAACAAAAAATAAACATTTACAATAGGCCATCTAATTATAGAACACCCAATGCATCATAATTCTGACAATAACTAGAAAGATCTGATTTTAACATATAGTATTAAGAAACTGGAATAAACTTAACGACTGAAAGTTAATTAAAAATAGTCTATTAACAGAATTTGCTTCAAGATTCTATAACAAACGTTCAGAAGAGTCTGTATTCTATTGTTTTCTTTATGTTAATTTGCAAATCTTAAGAAAATGATTTATCCCCTGTGTATTTATGCGTAGATACCCCATGAGGAGATTATGACAAATGTACTACATAAATTCTAAAAGGAAAAACAATATCTTATGTTCGAAATATGATTATTTAGTTCTATCTAATTTATCCAACGGCTTTCCAATATATTCTCAATTAAAAGTGCACTTTAAATGAAGATTGTCCTATAAACAAGACTTCAGACTTTTCAAAAATTTTTATAAAACAAAAAATAAACCTTTACAATAGGCCATCTAATTATAGAACACCCAATGCATCATAATTCTGACAATAACTAGAAAGATCCGATTTTTAAATATAGTATTTAGCAAAGCATGCAAATAACTGTTAACAGTTTTTTTCCTTACGCTCTACTCCCGAGAACAACCGAAAAATAGCATGCCCCTCGTTCTCTCTCTGCGCAGCACACTTCGTTTCCTTTCGTTTTGGTTTTCGGTTGAGCCTTTTACGTTGAGCTGTTCGTGAGACGCTCTGTTACGAACCTCGTTCAATGAGAGTTACGAATGTCGCTCGCACAGGGAGACTTATTAAAAGACCGATTGACTGAAAAAGTCATCGCAAAAAGTCTTTTCACTAATACAACTATACAATGTATTCCCTTTGAAAGTACTTGCGAGTGAAAGGGAGAGCAATATCGCCCAAGCACGTTAACGTTAACACATGCGCAAAAGACTTTTTGAAACGTCGTTCAGGAGCAATCAGTCTGTAAGCGAGCCGAGCAAAAGAAAGCCGAAAAAACTGCTCGTCGGCTGAGTGCGAGCAAAATTTCTGTACGAACAATTCAATCGGTTGCTCTCTGATTGTTTGCTCAAAGTCTCAGAGAAAAACAGTTATTTGGGGACCGCACGAATCGGTCAACAGTTATTTGCGAGCTATGGTATTTAGAAACTGAAATAAACTTTCAGACGCAGGTTAATGAAAAACAGTCTATAAACATAGAAATTGCTTAAAGATCATACAACAAACATTCAGAAAAGTCTGTACTCTATTGTTTCATTTACGGTAAATTTAGCAATCCAAAATTCCAAGTGACCACTCGATATTCCCGCATTATCTCCTTTCCACGAAACTCACCCTCATCGCTCATGATCACCTTCTGGTGGGCCTCCGTCTGGCAGTGCTGTCGCAGCTCGTTCCGCGTCTGGAAGGTGATGGTGCAGTAGCTACAGGTTGTCGACGGGGCCGTCTGATCGCCTTGATCCGAGCCTGAACCGTCCGCTGATCCCGTCTGGTGCTTGCCGGCTGTGAGCTTCATGGCCGCCAGCAGATCGTTGGTCTTGTGGAGACTTGTGCTTGAGCTGGACATCGTGCTGCTGCTGCCGGTGGAGGAGCTACTGCTGCTGCTTGCATAGCTGCCGATTCCATTGCCATTCTGTTGCTGCTGCTGCTGTTGCTGTTGTTGCTGCTGCTGCTGTTGCTGTTGCTGCTCGCGCTTCTTCAAGCCCTTGTTGCTGAGCAGCTTGCTGTACTTGTCCAGCGGCAGGTTGTTTGTGGCCCAATGATCCAACTTGGTGTCCAGTATGGCCATCTCGTCCTCGAGTCGGGCATGCGGGATCTTCAAAGCCTGCGCCTTGTGTTGCCCATTCATGATCATCTGTATGATGGACTTGTAACGCTCAAGGGTCTTGGATATGTCCGAGTATATCTGCTGGCCGCTCAGCTCGTTAATCCACTTGCTCAGAAAGATCTCAGCATCCTATATTAGTTATAGAAATTATTAGAAAATTGAGGATTAGGTTTATTAAAATGTAGCTTGCAAATTAGAGCCCTGCATGAATGGATTCAATGAATTATATTGAATGTTTTTTGTTTTATATGAATGAATTAATTAGAATTTTGAATTTAATAGAATTGAATTAATGAATGGCATGAATTCCGAAATAATTCTAACGACAATTTCTTTTGAAGAAGAAAGGGCCATAATTTTGTGATTAATTCTGCCAGAATTTTATTTACTAAGCAGTTAACTTAATGATTTGTTAAAAAGTTTCCACTTTTTGTTCTCAAAAGAAAGCACAAATAAAATCTGGTAAATTCATAAAAATTATTTATTCATTCATTCATTCAATTCGAAATAAATTTAAAAAAACATTCAATTTATTTCACATAGAATTAAATTAAACAAATTAGACATTTCACGGCATACTATGATAAAACAAAAATTGAATGATTCACGCAGGGCTCTATTGTAAATTCATTACATAAAGGGTTAAATCCCCGTTTTTACTCACCCCGTACTTGTGCATCTTGAAGAGGGCGTGGACGAGCCATCGGCGTGCCCTGGAAACGCTGGCCAGGCACTCGGTTTGCTCGGAGAGCAGCGTGAGCACCTTGTAGGCATCCGCCAGGCAGCCCTCGAACTTTCCCAGCTCCAGGAGGCACTCGCATCGGCCCAGGAGGCAGGCGATCTGCTGGTCCTTCTGGGCCCTCGATCCTCCCACCCTGGCCGGGATTGGGGGCAATCAGCTGGTCGTACAGAGCCACGGCACGGGCCCAACTGCGACGGCGAACCATGTCGTGGGCCTGCATCTCCTTCTCGGCGGCCATCGTTTGCTGGTTGGTTTTTTTGGGGGTCTCCTACGGTTTGTGGTCACTCATGCATGTGTGGCTTCTACAGGTCCGTGTCTTGATCGCTCGTCTAATTTCTATGGTGATTCTGTTTAGAATGGAATTTAATAATCAATTAGGGTTTACTGTTTGGGAAGTAATACTCACATAATTTAACAGTTTTGGGTGGTTAATATTAAGAAATCGATTATCGTTTTTACATTAATGGTTTAGATACTTTGCGGGCATTATGTTTACTGCAAATAAAGAAATTTGTGATTTTAGATGTGAAAATTATATTGAAATACCTATTTTGTATTTGTATACCAGAGATTTGGATTTTTTTAATCCTATGTTTATTTTATTTTTATAGGGGGTGTTTGTTTTCTATATTTTGATGTATAATTTTATATCGTGTTTAAGTTTTTTATTTATTTTTTATGACAGTAAATTATTATTATTTGTTAACGAATTTAATTCGTTTATCTATATTTTAATATTGTTTAATTTAACGAGTTATGAACAAAAGTTTTGTTTTTAATATTGGTTTTGTCTGTTTAATTTTACGCAAATATTTTTATAAATGCTATTTTTAATATAAAAAAAAAAATTAGTAATATGCTATTCGAACTAAGGAATTTCTTTCCTCACATTTTAGACAAAATTGTATATTTTATGAAATAAACATTTTGATATCCTTTTACATTTAATATATTTTTTTTTATTAAAAATAGTCAAGCAATAAATAGTAAACCCATATTTTCGGTCAAATGCAATTCCAATTGTGTGACGAAGCCGAGTTGTTTGGACCAAAACAGAAATTGTTTATATCTGGGCAATAGCTTCTGCTCGGCTCTTATCGCATCCCAAACAATTGGGTGTATAGTATATACAGACGGATTTATAGAGCCCGCCTGCGACTACGAGTGTGATAAACAATCCAAATCCAAAGTGCTCCTTTGGCCGTCTTTATTTTTCGATTTACACAATTTTCATTCTAATTCGGTTACGCAAAATTTCATAAGAGCAATTTTCACACTCGCACCGGCACAAAGGGGGGCGGAAAATTCAGAGGGGGCGGGAAAACCAGGGGGGAAATGGGGAAAACACTTGCAGAGAACGCGAATTTGCAAGCATAATAAAAAGTAATTTTCGAGTTGCTTCTTTTTCTTATTTCCATTTTTTTTTATTTGGAGGTGCTTGCTCTCTTTTTTGCCTGCTACTTTTTTTTGTTGCGTGTATGTGTGTGTTTTGTTGTGCGGTTTTTATTTATATGCGGCAATAAATGGGTATTATTTACAATAAATGGCGAATGCAGATTGTTAGCAACTGCAAATGCGTTGAATTAAACCGTACTATTAGTTAATGTTGTCTTTTCTTCGCTTTTTTATATACATGGTCGGATTTTCTTGGCCTGGCGTTGCCTTTTCAGCTGTTTGCAGGCTCAATAAAAACACATTTCTTGGTTTTTCCTTGGTTATTCCATGGTTTATACTGTTGGCCATTGGTTGCGCGTATTTATTGGTTAATTTTTACATTTTCCGAGAACTGAGGAGGATTTATTTTACCATTTTTCTTTTTACGTGCTGAAAACAGCAGACTAGGGATGTCAAAAATATATCAAAATATCAATATATCGATATTTTTTGCAAAAAAATATATTTATATCGTGATATTTATTTAGCCAAATATCACAACATCGATATTTTATTTTTCCATATTATTTGATATTTGCATATCTTTCTCTCATCTGTGCACAAAAAAATGAAGCGTGTTAAAATTTATTTCGGTGAAATTAATAAAAACAAAGTGCAACTTTGTTTGAAAACTATTAAAACAAGTGGGAATACATCAAATATGTTATCCCACTTGAAAAACAAACAATTTTATGTGTGGAACTAATAATATAAGAAATTTAATAAAACGTATTATATTGTTTATACTCTTCTAGTGCTTTTACATTAGCTTATTTACGCGGCTTAAATTTGGAAATTCAACTGAAAAAAAAATATCAAAAGTATCTAATATACCGATTTTTTCTCAAGAAAAATATATTAGCGATACGATATTTTAAAAATTTTTGACATCCCTAGCCACTTTCTGCCGAGTATCGCATGTGGCAATTAATGAGGGCTCGAATTTTATTTCTGCGTTTTTTGTCAAAATATTCATCACAGTTTTTACAGGATTATAATATTGTTATTTAGATATTTTATTTACTTATACATTGCCAACGAAGTGCCACAAAACAAAACACGAGTATCGGCTGCGGGCCTTTTCCAGTACCGAACGCCCACTTACAACACTGGTCCAAAACTGCACGATGATTTTGCCATATGAAAACGGCAACTTATATGAGCACAATACATGCAAATGACCGCATTGCACTTTTATCTGATTAGTCAGTTATTTCTGCGGTTCGTTAATCGTTTTGCGTGCTCAGCAGCCGACAGCGTTGCACTTTTCCAGCGCTACATTCGGAAATCAGCGGTCCAGCTGCAACTTTGCTGGACAATTTATCGTCCATTTCGGTTTTTCGCTGACTTCCACACTCTCTCCTTGCTCCATTACCTTTACTTGCACTAGTTCTTATTGTTTATACACTACGGGCTAATTATATTTTACATGGTTAAGCACAAAACTATGAGAGAAAATGCACATCACGGTCGAAAAAATGTTAAAAATAAGTTATGTATGTATATATATGTATGTATGAAATTCGCGAAACGCACCAGTGCTGGGCAGGGTCAGCGTCGCTGTTGCAATTTTCAGCGGAATCGTGTTCACATAGAGAATCGCATTTACGTCGAATTAACGTCAGCGGCCACCCCAAAACACCCACACAGTATCGATATTATAGATATTTTTCAAACATCGATGTTTTTCTGATACATCTATGTTTTTCTGATGTTTTACTAGAGAGAAACAAACAGAATTGCCTCTTTAATTTTGAGGACCAAAATAAACACAAAATCACTTAAAGTAGGGACAAAGTACCATAAAAGAACCGCGAGTTCATGGTGTATTATTCATCTTTGGTACCACGAATGGTATGAAATACTTAAAAGAAGGCGGAAAAAAACCATAGGTTATGACATAAAATGGAAAATAAAAGAACCGCGAATTCTTGGGGAAAGGGAAATAACCTCAAGAAACCGCGAATTCATAGCCTTGGATAAGAATTTGTCGCTTTTCAAAGATCGTTTAAGCGATTTGGACTCAAGGATAAAAAAAACGATCGCGAATTCTTCAGAAGAGGAGGAATTTTTTCTTCTTGATGAAATGGTATCAATTAGAGTATAGGAAAATTAACATAGGTTGTGGCATAAAATGGAAAATAAAAGAAACGAAATTTCTTGGGACAAGGAGGAACTTTCGTTCTTTTAGTACCAACAACAAACGTTTGAGCAATTTGGGCGAAGGATCGAAAAAAAAATCAAATTCTTCAGAAGAGGAGGAATTTGTTCTTCTTTGGTGGCAAAAAATGGTATGGAACAAAAGTTTGGTCAATTATGTTATATAAGAATTTGGTTATTAAAAAAAAAAAAAAATCCGTGAATTCATATCTTTGACTAAGAATTGGAGTACTTCTAGACATATGAAGTAACTCAACTCAATGATTAGAAATAAATCAACCACGAGTTCTTAAGAGGAGGATCCTCTAGTCTCAAAGAGCTTAGCCAATTTTATTTTAATAATAAGAACCGGAAATTAAAAAAATTTACCGCGATTTTTTTCTTATAATACTATTAATAATAATGCAAGTGTATTATGCATGAGTATAATTGTTGCAGAATGCTCCAGTCGCAAAAGGCTCCAGTCGCAGAATGCTCCAGTCACAGAATGCTCCAGTCACGGAATGCTCCAGTCACAGAATGCTCCAGTCACAGAATGCTCCAGTCGCAGAATACTCCAGTCGCAGAATGCTCCAGTCACTAATTGCTCCAATCGCAAAATGCTCCAGTCACGGAATGCTCCAGTCGCAAAATGCTCCAATTGAAAAATGCATTTTGTTACATGCTCATTATTCGCTCATTTTACTTGCTCATTTTGTTACATGATCATTTTACTTGCTTATTTTGTTACATCTTCATTTTACTTGCTCATTCCGTTACATGCTCATTTTAGTTGCTTAACAAAATGCCAATCGCAAAATGCTCCAGAATCAAAAACAATAACAAGAGAGAACGCTATAGTCGGGTGCCCCGACTATCAGATACCCGAGATAAAAACTTTGATCTGCCGTAACTTTTTAACGAATGGTCCGATTTAAAAATTTTTTTCTACATTTCGATAGGTATTGATAAACACAATAAAACTGCATTTTTACTTTTCCGAAATATTGAAATTTTTAAAATCGTATATAAGCGATTGTGGGCGTTAGAGGGGTCGTGTTTTGAAACAAACTTGCGCTGCGTAGGAACTCCTAGAATCTGCATGCAAAATGTCAATCCTCTAGCTTTTATAGTTTCCGAGATCTCAGCGTTCATACGGACGGACAGACAGACGGACATGGCTATATCGACGTGGCTAGTGACCCTGATCAAGAATATATATACTTTATGGGGTCGGAAACGCTTCCTTCTAGCTGTTACATACTTTTGCACGAATACAATATACCCTTTTACTCTACGAGTAACGGGTATAAAAAAAAAATTATATAACAAAATAAGCTTCCTAAGCTGTCTTTTAGTTATGCTTTTAAAGCAATATTAATTATTATTGTTATAATAAGTAATTACATTTTTTCAAATATTTATATATATTTTTCACAATATACTTACTTTGGCATTGCAAACACAGGCTGTTGAATTGCTGAAATTTCTGAAGGTTAACTTTGTATGGAACAGCTGACTGAAATTCAACAATACCCAGCATATGTTGTGCAACTCGACCCCCCCAGAAACCATCGATGCTCGATCCATGATTTGTTTATTGTTATTAGCAAATTGTTAATGAATGGGAATTCTAGTAGTGGACCAACGGTGCACTGCTGGCAGAATTTCCGAAGCAAAAAGTGGGTAGACTTGAATAAAAAAGTGGCTAGATTTAATAAAAAAATTGCTACAAATTGCTAAAACTTTTTTACAAATCAAGTTATTAAGTTATATTATTACGAGTAGAAATGTGTGCAACCAACGACCTTGGCCACGGCACGGAACTCGGAAAATGATTTCCTCTGCAACGGTATAAAAAAATTACAAAGTAGTTGAGGATAATTAAAAAAGATGTTTGGAAATTAATAATTTTTGAAATATTCCTTAATTTCAAATATATTTTTTTATTTTTATTTTAATATTTTTTGTTATAAGTTTTGCAACTCTATCGGTAACTCTATTACTTTTGTTTTTTCAAATACTTAATATGTTGTGTTTAAAAATATCTACATTTCTGGAAATTATTTTCATAAAATCTGCTAAATGGGTTTGATGTTTTCGGACGCAGTGGAAACACACTTCAGAGTTATCGATAAATGTGTGACGCGACAGTGGAAACGCTCATCACTCGGCCCACATCTGATTCACTATTGATTTTCTGGAGTAAAATAACAAAAGACAAAATAACGCAATCTGTGGAAATTCAAAAACGGAAATGATCCGAAAAACCTTGGTACTGGGGCTCCTCCTGGCCCTGGGAAGCCTGATCCATGCCAGCGATATCACGGACAAGGTGTTTGCGGACATTAAAGAGGGCATTGTTGCTGCCTTCGGGGACTTTGATTCAGACGAACTCACGGATGTCTTTGTGATCCGCGACGACCAGAAGACATTGCAGATTCTCTATGGTATGTAATGGTATCCAGAAAAGTGCCCCTTATTAATTTCCCCTCCATTTGCACACAGGCCACTACACGGAGCCCCTGCTGAAACTGGGGCCCTACTGCCAGTACGGAGATAAGACCATTGTGAGCGTCATTCCCGGGGATTTCGATGGCGACGCTCTGATGGACGTCATGGTTAACCTGAAGACGGGGGACAAGGACATCTACGAAGTGCATGTGAACTGGGGCAACACCACCGAACTGAAGTGCTCCAAGGAGGCGCTCTTCACCAGCAAGGGAGAGGTGATGGCTTTGGACTTTAATCGCGACATGATTATCGATTTGTACGGACTGGATGCCATGGGAGTGCGCACCTTCTGGATATTCAACAGCAGTCGGCTGCCTCCGGAGCATTTCCATCAGGCAGAGCCCACAGAGGTCAAGGGCAACTTGCTGAGCATACCGAATGCAAATGCCTATGTCGATATTGACGGGGACTTTCTGGCTGATCTGTTCCTGCAGACGGAGAACTCCTACGAGGTGTGGCACGGCATCGACGAGCGGGACAAGAAGGAGGACTTCAGCTACCAGTACGAGATCAAGTTCCAGCCGATCGGAGGCCATGACTACCACATCGGGCAGGCGGTGTTCATGGATTTCGAGCTGAAGGGCGTGCAGAATATTGTGGTGCCCTTCTGCATCCATGCGAACTGCCGCAACTCCTCGATCATGGTGTACGATGGCTCGGACTTCCGGAATCTCCATGTCAACTTCCGCGATCCGCAGGGCATCACGTGGGCCTTTGTGCCGCCCGAGTCGGATGATGTTTACCTGCGGACCATTACGGCGCGAAGCGGTGACTTCAATTTGGATGGCTATCCGGATCTTCTGGTCACGCTGCAGCCCCTGAATGTGGGCAATTCGGTGATGCAGACTTTCCTGCTGGAGAATGTGGCCTGCACGACGTGCAATAAGCCGTTGAAGCGCACTTTCGAGGTTCGCTGGAATGCCCTCTCCCCGATGGGCAACAATACGGTGGCCGGGGCGTTCTACGACTTCTACCAGGACGGCGTGCTCGATGTGATCTTGATCAGAAAGGACGCAAAGGGTAAATACCAGCCCCTCGCCTTCCGCAACACCCTCGACTACGATGCGAATTTTGTTAAGGTGATTGTGCTCACCGGTTTGGATAACAAGCAGAATCCCGAGCGTCGCACTCCCTTGGGCAGGAAAAAGCGCACGTATGGCACCAATTTGCCAGGACCCCGCATCACCTACACCACCACCACCCAGGATGGGGATCAGCAATTCGGCAGCAGCGTTCAACTGCCGCAGGCCTCGTACTTCGCTCTACAACTCCCGTACACTTGCTTTGGCCTGGGCCGAACGCCGAATTTCGTGGATCAACTGACCGTGGGACTGGGCAGCAAGCTGCGCAATTGGACGCAGCTCATACCCAATTCACAAATTATTGTGGTGCCCAAACCGCTGAACGATCCGTCCCACTGGAAGGCCCAGCTATTCGTCACGCCCAGCAAACTCATCCTGATGAGCGTCGTTGCGCTGGGCGGCACCTGCCTGGTTATCGTCTTTATCATCCTGGTGCTGTACATCAAAGAGAAGCGCGAGGACAAACAGGAGCGCCTGCAGGAGTCCCACAGATTCCATTTCGATGCGATGTAAACTAAGTAACCCGTTTTGTTTCAACCAAAAGTCAGTTGAGTTTATTATTGTATGATTATTTAACGTTTATCAATATGCCCAAATTAAGGACCGCACCTGTGGATTTCATTATGAGCTTTTCCATCTCATTGACGCCTTGGATTGCCGCAAATTGTAAGAATAAAAATGTAAATCAATCAAGACATCACTTCAAAAACAAGCTCATAATGCAATCAACAGAGTGAGTCCCTTTCATCTGATATATATGTATATGGTTTAAGAAATGTGATAAATATAAAAAGATTACAATTAACACGTAATACTCGTTTCTTAAACGAAGTACATGGGGTTAGTCTTCATAAATTCGGGCACAATCTTGCGCTTCTCGTATTCCTTCTTCAAATCCAGGAACCTAGTGGCTCTGTAAAATAAAATTGCGATTAGAGGTGATTGAAGGAAAGCTGAAGGAGAAAACATTGACTTACCCAGTGAGGTAAACACGACCGCGTGCCGCCACCAAATGGGCCAAGTAGGCCGGAGCCGGGTACGAAACCGAGCGATTGCAGCGGGGAAACATGTGGCACAGATTGTAGGTCAACTGCTGCAACAGGTCGATGTCCAAATTGCCCGTGTTCTCAATCACATTGTAGCGCGTAGGCTTGGCCGTTCCCTGGATGGACTGGTGGCTGACCATGAAGAACTGCATCTCGTTGGGATGCACGATGGTGCGATCGACCACGGTTCCGGGGTCCACGTTGTTAAACTTGTTGTACTGCGATGGTTCCCCGTTGGGGAAAAAGCGAGTGTGATGACGCTTCACCACGATCACGCAGCAAATCTTGGGCTTGATTCCCACCTGGATGTTGGCAAGTAATTAATTTATATTAATTATTAATTATTATTATTATTATTAATTTATAAGTTCCAAACTTGTAGCGTTAGGATGACACGTAATAATAAAATACAAATACAAATAACAATCTTAGATAGTTTATAAAACCAGGGATCGGAATTTGACACACATGTTAAAAACATGAAAAATTTTATTTTACAATGTGAGCAAAGTTGTTGTCATGTGTGTCAAATACAAAAGTTTAAAATGTGAAAAACAATTTTTTAATTCGATAAATATTTGGAAAAATTATCCATACCAAAAACATATACATTTTTTATAAAATAGACACCATTACACATTACACTATTGCATATATTGTGAGCTGTCACTTAAATGTCAAAAACTCATTGCGCTGTGTAAAAAACACGCTGTGTAAAAAACACGTTGTGTAAATAACACAAATGACATGTGTGTGTTATTTATGTTTTTAACATATGTAGGCTACATTAATTAACACACATGTCAATAACTTTTTTTTGAACCTAACACTGTGACATTTAACCTGTTAATAACACAAGTTATTTACAGTGTGTGTTATTTTCCGAACCCTGTATAAAACTAGACTCACCTTGGCACAGGCTGCATTAATGCCCCTAAGCTCCTCGTTCTTGATCTTAGGGAACTGGCCGTCGCTCACACCATCTCGATAGTATAGAATATGCTCCGGATAGGATTTGCGGTACTGCTGATATACGCGCAAGTGCTCCAACGTGATCGACTGCATGTCCTCGATCTCCTCCAGAGCCGAACGCTGTAGACGATATTGCATATTGTAGGCGGCTCCGTAGGGATCGTGCGAGGCTGCCACGCCCACCACGCTGGGAATCTCGCGCTGATCGGGCGAGGGATGGGTCACATCGGCGCCCAGGAACATGGCGTTCTTAAGCATCGGCATTCGGGGATCATCCTTGAGCTTGTGGTTTATGCCATTTAACTTGGAGTTCACCTTGAGTAGGATATTTCCGATGGTCTGGGGATTAAGTTTTCGCTCGACCGTAAACTGCTTGATGCACTGCGTCAAAATGCCATGCTGCAGCTCGGCCTTTTGCTTGATGGTGTCATACGATGCCCCGAACTGGGGAATAATTACGAAGGCCAGATCGAACTGGTTGCGCTTAAGATCCCCGAAGACCTCGTCCAGGCTGCGCTCGTCCTTGAACGTCCTAAACTCCGCCTTTGCGGCCAGGCTCATGCTTACCGACTTGCTTTGGTTAAGCACTTGGCGCTCGAAGTCGCCCACCTGGTTGAAGTGCATCTTACGACCTTGCGGCGGATCGAAGTAAACTATGGCCCACTTGTGGGCCTTGGGCTTGGGCTCCAGGAACCGCATGCTGTCCATGCGCCACGATCCGTTCCTCACTGGACACCACTTGTTTCCTTGATACTCAACCTGCGGTGGGTTGAGGGTCCGGGTGCTGACCACAATAAAATCATTGGCAATGCGAATCCCGAAGCGACTGATGGTCGGATCAGCGTTGTGCTGGAAGAATTTCAGCAAATCCATAATCTTGCCCTTTCGCACGTTCGTCGATGTGGCAGCAAACTTTATCATGTTGGCCACCTGAGTGGCTCCATCCTTGCGCTGCAAAATAAATACATATTTAGGAATATTTCAAAAGGGTTAACCAACGGAATTGATATAAAATATTTATAACAAGAAAGGAATTTACCATTGCAGAACATTATTATTTTACTATTAACTTAAAAAAAACATAAAATATAGATATACTTGCGTATATGTTACAACAATCTAAATTTTAGCTGCTTTCGTATAATTTTGGCATTAAATTTTTGATCCTTCCGATGGCAGCTATATAATACAGCCGTCCAAATTTTGTTAAATTTAATTTGAAATTTGAAAATGTTAAGGAAAACAAAAATATAATTTTGTTCCATTAATTTCCATTTAATTTTCTGACCGTTCCCAAGGCAGCTAAACGATATAATGATCCTATATTTTAAAAAATTAATTATAATTTGAAATTTAAAAATATTTAAATAATAATGTTCCCAAAAGTAGAAGGTAATATTTTAAAAACCACAGAAGCTAGATTTTTTTTTACGTTTTTTTCCGATTCTTCCTATGGGAGCTATAAGATATATTTGTCCGATTTAGCCGGTTACGGCTTATATACTACCTGCAATAGAAATAAGACTTCTGGGAAAATTTCATCCCGATAGCTTAAAAATTGAGAGACTAGTTTGCGTAGAAACGGACGGACGGACGGACAGACGGACGGACATGGCTAAATCGATTCTAGTGATGCTGATCAAGAATATATATACTTTATGTGGTCGGGAACGTCTCCTTTACTGCGTTGCAAAATTCTGACTGAAATCATAATATTCTCCGCAAGGGTATAAAAACTCCAATTGGTATACTCACATTTAACGCCTGACCTGCCTCGATGGTGCAGAGTTCGATGGGCAGTAAAATATTTTTCACCGCCGGCCCAACGTGCAAGCAATGAAGATGGGGATACTGCAGTTTGTAGTTGCGACTCTTGAAGTAGTCCGCAATTGTGATTTTCTTGCCATCCTGCTCGAAGGTCTGACTGCTTGCCGGGCTTTGAGATAACCCATTTACTTTGTAGACCCTTGGAGCGGTGGCAAACGACTTAGGTGGTGTGTACACCACATTGATGCCTCTTAGGAACGGCTCGATGTGGCGTCGCGAATAACCCAGATCAGTAGTGTTGTTAATTCTCGTCTTTAGACCGTATCGCTCCAGATATTCGATAACCGGCATGGCAATGGGAAAGGATTTATGCGAAATGTCTACGTTTAGGAATGGCTTATCGCCCAGTATGACGGCTTGATATAGACCGACCAGGGCCTCGTATCCATCGTCCAGTTCCCAACGTTTACCGGGATCGGACATCTTGAAGAAGGAGCGACCGGCTCGAATTGCCTTGTTGTGGCAGGGTGCAGCCATCACCACCTCCATGCACTGCATGGCTCGCATTGGCTTGTCGAAGATCCTCTCAGTCATGTAGCTGCAAGCAGGCGTGTTAAAAATGTTATATCTTCAAAACTCTATGCTTTTTACTTGTTTAGCGACTTCAAATCGATCTCCGAATCACCGGTCTCCTTTATTTCCACCGTGTAGCGTAGAGTGCGACCATTACTATCTGTCACCTGGCCATTGCAGAGAGAAAGTAAAGTTATTATTCAGGGTTCGGAAAATAACAAACACTATACAAAACTTGTGTTATTAACATGTTAAATTTCAAAGTGTTAAGTTCAAAAAAGTTATTGACTTGTGTGTAAAAAATTGTATACTACATATGTTAGAAACATAAATAACACACACATGGCATTTGTGTAATTTACACGACGTGTTATTGACACAATGAGTTTTTGACATTAAAGTGTCAGAATTGTATGTTGAACTGAAAAATACACGGCTTTCTATAGTATAAGAATTCATATATGCTTTGAAATGGTTTAAAGTAACTTATAAGATATCATGATTTTCCCTTCGACTTGTTAATGTCAGTAATTTTTATTTGTGTTAAAAAACACGTCGTGTTAAAAACACATTGTGTAAAAAACACAAGTAAGCTGTGTGTGTGTTAACAATTATTTTCACATTTTAACACCTTTGTATTTGACACACATGTCAACATTTTTGTTCACACTGTAAAATACGATTTTGCATGTTTTTAACATGTGTGTCAATTTCCCAACCCGGTTATTATTACACATTTGCATACAAAAGACAAGCACAACTTACAGTGACTTCCGAGTTTTGGGTCTTCACCGGCAGCTTATCGACCGAGTAGCAGGAGGCTCTGCCATCATAGGCGGCGACAGCACCGCCCAATTGATTGATGCGAAACTGTTCGAAGGCCTGCCTGTAGAACTTCTTCGGGCGCTCAGGCATGATCTTCACATCGTAGTGATAGGCCATGGGTGGCATTTTCGACATGTCAATGTCCAGATAGTTAACGGCCACCTGGCCGGGTTTGCCGATCGTTCCTCGCTTGATGCTGCCCGCCGGCTGCGGTAGCATTGGGGCTGCTTGCGCTCCTCTCTGTGGCGGTCCACGGGATTGGTATTGTTGTCCCTGCTGGCGCTGCTGGTAGCCACCTTGTTGGCCCTGATCCTGCTGTGGAGCTCTGGGTTGCTGGCCCTGGGCCTGGTATCCCCCCTGGCCCTGCTGGTGCTGCGGGTATCTGCCCTGAGCCTGTTGTCCTGGCTGGCGCTGCTGGTAGCCACCTTGTGGTCCCTGATCCTGCTGCGGAGCTCTCGCCTGCTGGCCCTGGGCTTGGTATCCCCCCTGCCCCTGCTGGCGCTGCTGGTAGCCACCTTGATGTCCCTGATCCTGCTGTGAAGCTCTGGGTTGCTGAAAAGGCGCACGGCCCTGCTGTCCCTGCGATTGTTTTTGCTGTCCGCCCCATCCTTGGCCTGCCTGTCCGCCGCCGCCCTGCTTCTGCCATCCTCCGCCGCTCTGCTGCCCACCAGAGCCAGATGCTCCGGAACTGGTGGATGCCTGGGGGGCCGCCTGACGTACCGCAGCTGTAATACAAATATTTTAAATCAAATATTTTAAGTATGTGTCTTTGATGATATTTTAAACAACAATTTTAAAAATTCTAGAACTTTGGTATTTACATGTTTGCTATAGTCTATAGTTATTCTATTGGTCATTATTACATACAACCAATAGAAAGCCTGCATTACGTACATTTGGGGGTCCAAAAAATCAAATCTTATTCACATGTTGGTTTGCAAAAAAAATAATTTTAACACTATATTTGTTTGGTTTGAGTTTTTGGCCTTGCGAAACGGCCGCAAAGGTTTGCTTTTCCAAAGGATTCCATGAAAAAAATTTAAATGTAGAGTTGTCTATACATAACGAGAAACCAGTTTGAAAATTATGTTCTTCTGGGCTTTTCACGTTTTTAATGAAAGTACGTGGACATTCAAAAAGTAATTAACCAATTATTTTTCAAATTGTTTGTCAAATATTGAGCATTTTAAAAGCTACTGCTTGAAGTTAGAATTTTAAAATATTTTCATTTTGACTTATTCTAAGAATTAAATGTTAAAGGTTAAGTCGAAAAACAGTAAATTCTTTGCCAGAAATTCAAATTTATTTTTTTTTTCAATTCCTTTTTGACAGCTGAATTGCTTAAATTTCTTCAAATTAAATTTTAACTTGTTTAACAGCTGATAAAAAGTTAAGAATTTAACTATTCAATAATTCTTAATAATTAAAATATAAAATATAAATTTTTCAAAATATAGAAAAAAAATTAAATAGCAATCTTTTGCTGACTATTAGTTCTAACTATCGAGAGGGCACTGTAAATGCTATAATCAGGAAACCGATTTCCACCAATACAGGCACGCCCACCTTATTTCATCATGGGTGCATTGAATGTGGTGATTCCCCGTAAAATAGAAAACTTCTGGAGCATTCGATCCGATCACCCCTAAAACTAGATTATTTTTTCCCCCGACTGCACAGCAAATGTACATCTATATACATACATACATATATATAGAAATCGAGAACATTTTTTGCCAACGCTGACAAATTGCAGTAAATAAACTTACTTTGTGGTTGCTGCTGTTGTTGTTGCGCTGGTGCAGGAGCTGCAGGCGCCTTTTCCTCTTCTTGCTTGTACTCTGGGGTGGTAATTAGTCATTTAAATTTAATATATACAAAGGGTACATGTCGGGAAACTCACTATTCTTCTTCCCCATCTTGAACTTTTAAGAAATTTGATTAATTTTCCTTCAGAAAATCTCCGAATCTTTTTGCGTGTTGCACTTTGTTTAAGGTCTCACTTAGTGATGGGAGACCCGGACTCCGGAGGCTGAGCGATTACTTATCGAGCCGGACAGCTGTTATGGAAATGTTATCTTTTTCTAGTCGCTTATCGAATTTTAGCTATCGAATAGGCGCGAAATATTTATTTACTATAAGTTTTACTATCTAATTACATACGTCGATTAATTCTTAAGCTTCAGTTTATATTTTCACTTCATCAAAAACTTGATTTTGATGTAATATCAGGAGTCACTGGGGAAAGCCTTTTGAAGGCGTATACCAATAGTAAAACCACTTTACTTATTTAACGTTGCCTTTAAATAATATTTTAGCCCTTCTGGAGTTCAGTCGTCATGAACCAATTTTAAATATTAAAATTTTGGGATTCTGATTGAATATATTTCCAATGGTTACTGAGTGTTTTAAATTTAAAACTCAAATTCATAGTGATGGAAGGCTTTCTTTACTGCTTTTAAACGAACCTAAGTGTGCTAAGTGTCCCGTTCTAAAATTCATGTATATTTATTTTTTAGTTATTTTAAACAGAACCAAATATTTGGTCCTAGGTCTTCTCTTAGACCACTAAAAAAGTTATTTTTTTCAGATTCATTTAAAACTTTAAATAAATAAAAATATAAACGAACTGATTCCAGCACAGGGAAAAAGTATGGGACCAAAAATATATTTCAGCTCCTGAAAAAGGATAACAAATTGTTGTGAATAAAAGGTGTAAATAAAACTCGAACATTGCTGCTGTTGTTATGGTTGTATGAATTTTATTTGGAATTGCACTTTTACTTTTGCCAAATTACAGCAACCAATCATAAAAGTTTTACAATTTTTTTGGATGTATTTTCTGTTTTGTTTTTTCCTTTTCAACGTTAAACATACAATATATGCGTTTAAAATGCTATAGCCGAAAAATAGTATATAGTCGTACATTATTTTTTTTCATAGTTGTATATATATAAATATATCATAATGTATTTTTCATGTTGTTTCAATTTGCTTGTTTAACGCGTTTTAATAAAAATTTTTGTCATTGCACGATCGTTTTGTTTTTCAACTTCGATTTTCAATTTTTGTATTTTTACTAAAAATTCTTCTTTAAAAATTTTACTAACAATTGCACAACTTCGTCCGCTTGATTTATACACACATGCACAGACATACATTAAAATAGCTAAATTATTTTGTATAGATATTATCGATTTGATAAGAAATCATCGGGTTACGCTTAAAATTTTCTTTAAGTAATTTTGTTTATATAAATTCAACTAATTTAAACTAGAATGACTCATTCAGAACGCTGCGGAAAGAATACAAAAATATCGGTATAAATATTTATGCCAAAAAATTGCACTAAAAACGTAAAACTCAAATTGTAAACATAAAAAACAAAATAATTGCTGCGAAATTTGATTGAATTGGGTTTTGCTCTCTATCCCTTCGGTCAGTGCAGCCGCCGTCTTATAATATAAAACTTAACAAACAATAATTCATTTTCATAATTGGCTCGGAAATTGTTTAAATCGACCAGGCAACGCGGCAGGTGGAGAACGGAACCGAATCGGGGATACGGATACGGATATGGATATGGATACACGGGGGTACCCATTATAAATTCGTATATATTCCATCTATTGTAACTCCAACTTGACGGCTGCTGGCAAACAGATGATGAAGAGAAACTTAAATGCTGCATATAGACATAGTTCGTTATATAATCCTTCTACTTAGCTACATTATGGAATTGTTTAGGTATTTATTTCGTCTCAGCTCGTCTCAGCTTTCGTTTTTTGTTTTTTTGAGAAATATCGTTTAAAGGAACAAGAGTCATGCCAAAGACAGCACAGAGATTGGGCTCCGGGAGTCTTTCGTTCATTCATTCAATCATTATTAAAACATAATGTACATGTCGCTGCTCTTATTTATTTAGAGCTCATTTTGCGATCAGCTATATTCGTTTCTTCTTCTTCGTTTTTTTGTTGTTTTTAAACCTTTTCATTACTTTGCTGTTTTTTTATGTTTTTGTTTTTGGTCTGTTGATTTCGTTTAATTACAATATTATTATTTAGCTTCTCTTTAGACGCTTTCTGGATTGGCTTCTGCTTTTGAGCTTCTCGATTGTTATTGTAATTGTAATTGTAATTGTGGTTGTTGTTGCAGCTGGTCATTTGCCTAAGCTCTAGATCAAGTTTATATAACAGGAATGCATGACTAATATACATAGCTATATAATATAGGTCCTACAAGTAGCTAGGATTACATACACATTAATTATACGGTATTAGTTATGGGCATCTAGGCATCTGGGCCTTGTGGAATATATATTGTGGGTGCGGTGGAGCAGGAGGGAGGGGAATGTTTACCGCTTTGTGCTAACCAAAAGCCGAACAAAAAATTCATCAAAATTTCCTCGTCGCATAAATTCTTGAAAAACTCCCAGACTGATTAAATCGAAACAAATTAGCTGAAGACATTACACATATAAAGATCTACAATATAACTCGGGAAGGCGGGCAAACAAGAAACGGTTTCGGTTTTAGAAATCCCTGGATTTCAGAGCTCTTCAAACCGGGGCTTTAGGACTTTTTCACATTGTGCTTGCTAACTAGGGCCTGCAGTTTGTGCAGCTGACTAAGTAGATTGGCATTGGTCTCCTCCAGCCCCTCGAGGCGCTTCTTGTAGTCGTGGTTCTCGGTGACCAGGATCTCGACGCGCCTCTCCAGCTGGTCCATGTACTCCTTCTTCTTGCGGCGGCTTTCCTGAGCAGAGATCTGTAAAGTAATCAAATGAAAATTAGACTCTTGCTTTTTTTTAACCAACGTTTTCCTATAACTTACTTTATTCTTGATTTTGCGTCGAATCTTCTTGAGCGATTTCTCCTCGGCTTTGGTTAGGGGAAGCTTCTGCGGTATCGGATAGCCTTCGGCCAGCAAAGTGCGTTTCTCCTCCTCCGTCAGCAACAGAGTCCCAGTGGAGCCCTTCTGCAAAATTATAGAAATTACGCAATGAGCAAAGATTTGTTAACAACAGAGTGACGAATGTCTTGCGAAATTGCCTAAATGATTCATTTAGAATTCCCAAAACTTAAACATACATTTTTCACTTCCTATGAGTAATCAGAAGTTTAGTTACGATTAAAAAAACATAATACATTTTTTATTTTTATACCGTTCATAAACAAATCTATTAAATAAAAGTTTATGGGAAAATATTCTATTAAAATATGGTAATTAATCTTAGGGATTTTTTAAAATAAATTTCATAGAAAAGCCAACAACTCATTTTATTTTTTAATTTTTAAATAATTTTATTTTAGTTTAAACTTACCGGCTGCGAGCTAATTAGCGGCGTGTGGATCGGCTGCCGTGTCGTGGTGGCCGTTGTGCTGGAACTGGAACCGGAAGTGGATCCGGAGGACGAGCGCGTGATACCGGAAGCGGTGCGGCTGACCCGTACGGTTGACTCGCCGCCGGCTGGATTGGCCACGGAGATAGAAACGGAAGCGTTGGGCGACAGGGGCGAAAACAAGTGTTCCGGTGTTAAGTTACCTTCGGAATCGTCGCTGGGCAGGGAGGATGGTGGCGTTAGCGGGATTCCATAGCCATGGGCGTGCGTTTTGCCCCCACTATTGCCGGCGTTCTGTTTCTCGCTCTTGATCTCCATTTTGGCCATCAGCAGATTGTCCTGGCCAAGGATTTGCTGTTGGCGCTGCTGGGACTTGATGAGGCTGTTGTTGCTGTTGCTGCTGGTGGCTAGCAGGAGGCCACCGTGCTGAGGAAGAAAGAAGAAAATAAAAAACAGTCAGTAAAGTTGGGATAAATCTGAATAACTAATAATAGCATTATGAATAATTTGAAAAGTAAGAGTTATTTCATATAATAACAAATAATTTCACAATAATAAATAATATAAATACTAAATGTTTAGTCTTTTCGGTATATTTAGTATTTTTAGCGAATTCTTCAGGGGCTAGTTCGAATGTGGAATGCGCAGTTATTTATAGTTATATATTATTTATTGGGAATTAAATAATTTTCAATAAGAAACTCAAATAATTTCACAATAATGAATAATATAAATACTAAAGGTTTAGTATTTTTGGTATATTTAGTCTTTTTAGCGAATTCTTCAGGAGCTAGTTCGAATACGAAATGCGGAGTTATTTATAGTTTTATATTATATATTGGGAAAATAAATAATTTACAATTAGAAACTCAAATAAATTTAAAATAATGAATAATAAATGTTTAGTATCTTCGTTATTTTTAGTATTTTTAGCGAATTCTTCAGAAGCTAGTTCGAATGTGGAATGCGGAGTGCCCTTACCTTCGGCTCGAATAGCAACTCCGACTGCAGGTGGGCCAGACTTAGGCTGAGCTGGTGCTGCGAGCTGCTCGCTTGCGATGTGGGACTGGCGGGGCAGCTGGAGTCCGGCGACATGGGCTCATCCTTGATGGCCGACTCGTCGATCTCGATGTCGGAGCATATGTCCGGCGACATGCTGCGCAACGACGACACCGAGGAGCTGCAGTCGTTGTCGTACAGGTGCTGAGGTAGTTGAAAGTGCTCCAGGTTGACCACATTGACCACGTGGTTGGACCCGGATCCGTGGTGTGGCTGGTGCGCCTGCAGACCCTGCAGGCCGGAGGATCGTGTCAGATCCGCGACGGAGGTGTTTAGGGCGGGATTGCTGCTCAGCCGGCTGATGGGCGTGGCATGCGTGGGCGGGGTGTGGAAGGTCAGGCACTTCGGGTCGATGGTCACACGCCCACTGGTCGCCGTCTTCGGTGAAATGGC